TTAAAACTAGAGTTTAGTGTTGTGGTTTCAGATAAGTGTGATCTGCTTCAGAAAATTACAGCTTATATATACCATATATAATGATTCTAACTTATGGGCATAAATATAGAAAAAAATTCTATGAAGAAAGGAAGGAAGGGAATATTAAAATAATTATTATGTGACTTTTTTATATGCGAAAGATTTTTCTTTCTATCACACATATATTTCTGCAATAGATAGCTGAAGTGAACTACCTACTGTTTTTTTCGACAAAAATGTACACATTTTTTTATTATTACTCATATGCTTTAGCTCGATCTTTAAAATGAAATCCCTACCTACTCTTTTTTTGACAAAAACGCACTAAACTGCTTAAGCTTATAGATAACTATTTAGCTTCTGCGTGTGATGCTGGATTTAATTAGATTTCGCTCTTATTCTTTATCTACACTCTTAATTTAAAGCAGTTAAAAGCAATATTTTGCATATTTGCATTGCATTTGACATTCTTTTTTAATGAAAATGTGACAATATTTTTTCTCAGGTCTCTCTTCCTTTCTTCGACAGAAGTTCTTCTATTTCTTGGACCTAAAATTCACCACTGTACATCATTAGAGATTTCATCTCTGAACTACAAAAACTAGTGGTTATTATCTTCACATTAAACTGTTGATTTTATAACTTAACAACTTATGACAAATGTCCAGTGTAAGTAACTTCTAACTACCATGTTTCGAGCTATGTTTTTGCTAATACAGGCTGAAAGGGATTACTTTAAAGGAAACAAAACAGATATTGATAAATAAATAAATATTTTTCGAATCCATTTTTTTTAAAGTAAATCTCTTGTGTTTTCGTACATTTGTAGCTATCGATTCGTAGACATACAATCAATAAGAAATATTAAATAGAAGTTGTCTGTTATTAGTGTGTAGCGAAATTACTTCTGAAAATAGTTGATGATAATGCACCTACCTCAATTTCACAGATAGTTATTTTGGCAACCCATTATTGCTCCCCAGCTAATGTGAGAATTGGTACCTCTGACTTTGTTCTATTTCCAAAGCTGAAATAAGATTACAACAGATACCGGAAAGCGTATTTAAGAAGTGCTTCTAAAATTAAAGGACCACTTTTAAAGAGACAAATATGATATTGTTTAAATTTAATGTTTTGTGAAAATTGTTGTTGTTTATTTAAAAATGCTATAGCTTTATAATTCTTAAAATAAATGCATAAACAAACTATGCAAAAACAAATATACTTACAATTATTTTAATTACTTTTCAAATCTAATTTTTACTTTTTGTATGATTCGAATTTTGTTTGAAGATACACTATAAAATATATAATTAATTATGCATATTAAGGGAATAAATTACATGCTAGCGTAAAAAGAATTTTAATTTCAAATGTATTAATTTTAAAATTATTGTTAATTAAATTGAAACAATGAAAAGTTTTTAATAATTTTTTTCTCAACAAATTTTGAAGCTATATGATATATAAGTTCTATTAATATCGCTAAATCTATAAAGTGAAGAAGAAAACAATAAAAAAACAACAATAAAAAAAATAATATTTTCGATATAATTTATTTTGGCGACATTATCTTTCTGGATTTTTTTTGTGACCAAAAATATTATATAATAATTTATGAGCGAGCTAATTGATCATTTAAATAAAAATAAAAAAACTATGATTTATTATTTATATTTAAAACAAATTATTTTATTAAAATATTTTTCCGATATTTCGACTATCTTTGATAATCTTCTTCAAGGAAACTAACAAAATATACAATGTAAAAGTTATAGTGGGAAAAATAATAAATACAATAACAACAACAAAAACAAAACAAAAAGAGAATACAATTTATAAAATATATAAACAATATCCTATATCATTTGTTTATAATATTCCTATAAGCCTGAGCACAGTTGTCCGTATCCGTTTAATAATTTAGTTTCTTACTATACGGAATTTCAAGAATTGAAAGCATTTCCAGAAAGTACCTTTTATTCCGGTTTCTTTCTTCATGTAAGATCTTCACATTGTCAAGATCAAGCTGATGTTTGCAGTCAATATATGTTAATGTACAATCAATTCTGTACCGGCTTCAGTACCACTATTATTATTCATACTATGTTTATGTCCAGCCATTCTTGACTTGCTTGTTCTTGGTCGTACCTATATATATTTTAATACATACGTAGAGTTTATTATTTGGTTTAATAATTTCGAAACAAAATACATAGATTTGTATATTACTTGGGCATTATTCTTAGTTAAGTGGAAATCTTTTGAAGTCTCCTTAAGGATTATGTTTATAATTTTATCTGGAAAGTCATTATTTTTTAAAATATCACATACTGTATTTTTCTGTTTGCTTTGAAAAATATTATCACTAAGTACCAGTACTCTTCTAATAAAATTGGATGCCGCGTTTAAAATAACATGATTTGGATGATTGGAATTGTAATTAATTAGTCTTTCTGAAGCTGAAGACTATTTGTACCATTGGAAATAAATCTGGTTTTCATGCCTAATCAATTCTACGTCTAAATAAGGAAGCATATCGTTCTTTTCTTCTTCTATGGTAAAATTTTTTTAATTTTTATGAAACGAATTCAAAATTTAAAGCGTTTGATCTATTTTATTTCTACGTATTATCGCGAAGATATCATCTATGTACTTCGTCAATAATCTTGGTTTGCAGTCCATGTCGTCCATACATTTATCCAGGAACTCTTCTATCATGATATTAGCAATAATGGATGACAATTGCGAGTCCATTGGCGTGCCTTTACGTTGTTTATAAATTTTGTTGTCTATCATAAAGTAGTTATTTTCTATAAGGCAAACGTTTAAAGTTTTGAAAAAAAGTGATTTGGTAATCTTCGTGAATGTTTTAACCACACTCCACTTTTCATCATCGAATATATATGAATTACTGACTTTAATTTTGAAATCTGTTGCGTCTTTTACGTTATAAACTGAATGTAGGGTTAAATTAAATTTTTAATTAAAAACTGAGAAACTAATTTACATTTTAAGAAACAGACAGATTCTATAATAGAATTCACTCAGGTGAAACACAAAACTACGTTCGATTAAGAGGATGGAAAAGACTCTATGCTATGTTGAGAGTAAAGAATAGTAGATATTAGATGATAATAGAATAATAGATGATAATGACAATGGACGCTAAGTTTTTTTTTGCCAAAAATCGAATTAAATATATTGTAATTATCAATTAAAATAAATATATTTTTATGAATTATTGCATCGACTTATTTATATTACGAACAAAACACATCAGTTTTATTTATTATAAATAAAACAAACAAATAAATTTTAATACATTTTAGTACTTTTTTATCTAAATTTCTTCACCCAAAAGGAATTTCTTCACCAAAAGCAGTATACAATATACACTAGACCAGTGATTCCCAACCGGTGGTCCCTAAAACAAACGAAAATACTCTGCATTAAATAGTTTTATTACAATTTCATTTTGGCGAATATATTTACATTATTAGCGACAGTCACATAGACATTAATTGCCATATTGGTTGTATTGTATTGAACTGTCCAAAAAAGGTGTCGGTGTTTTCATTGAATCTATTAGATGAACTGAGGATCATAGTTCACTTCTTTAAAATATCAAATTGCTTACTAGTTTACTAGTTTAAGTAGAGTTTTTTTCAATTTTGTGACAGTCTGACATATAACATATTAAACAGTCGCTTTTAGTAAAATTCATTCGAATTGGTTTTTGTAAGCAATCTTAGATTAGAATTTAATACGTTAATTATTTGTGGATTTCCTGATGATAGTCAGAATTGTTGATCTAATAACCAGCAGTATTTTTGTTATTATCTACATTTAGAACTATAACGATTGTAGTGCTAGAGTATTGGTTAGCTACTTAGTCTTGTGCTCTCATCATTCACTCTATACGGATTACGGATTCTGTTTGGAAGACGATACATAGTGTTAAAGACAGTTTTCTTATTGACAACATTTTTGAAGGCGACAATTTCACATATAATTTATTTCCGCTTTGAGCTCGGAAATTTTAAATTCGTGGCACTTAGCATAGCCCATGATGCGGGAGATAAGGGCGTATTTATTTTTCAGGTATATTTATTTACACTGTTCGCTAAATACTTAAAGTTGACGTTTTTTTATGCAAAACTTGACTCGCGGAAAATAATATAAAGTCTGAACATGGAATTAAATATATTTTTTTCTTGTAAAAGTTTTAACAATTGAACTAGTACGTAAAAACTTTAACATGAATTCCATGAGAGCACAATTTTGTTTGCATTTTTGTTTACAAACTTTTGAAATATGATTGGAATATTCGTTAAAAATTTTCAATAAAGGTTCACAATAGATCGCTTATTGCGATGGTAATACTTTTTTCTTTAGCCACCGAAAAACGCTTAATAAATAGCTAATTTAAATTTTGCGATGCCATTTTAAAATATTTTAAACCGACATTATATTAATGTAGTATATATACAAATATAGAATTTAAATATTTAATCAAATAATAGGTCTGTATCACGACCTACTCGTAGTAACTTTTGAGTAGCACTGTGTATACACAAGTGCGTTCCACCAGCAAATTTTTGAGTAAATTAGAGCATCTGAGAGCGCGTAACATCCCTGTCGAAACTTTAAAATATTACACAAACTTTACTCGTACATTTTATTTCAAGTAAAATTTGTGTAATGTGTCAATCAGCTGTTTCGGTTTAAATTTAAAATTTTTTCACTGGAACTGGTTTTCCTACCAGACTACACAAAGCTGTTCCATGAAAATCTGTGTAAAGAGCGTAATTTGGCACTTTATTTGTGCTGCACTCTTAGTTTGTACCTTACTTGTGTTTTACTACGAGTAGCTCGTGGAACAGACCTAATATATTTAACATAACATGTACTTTATGTATATATTTTCAGTTCAAATATAAATTAATATAAATTTTTTTCAGAAGTACGACTGTATGGCAACACTCTTACCCGGCTGTCATATTTGACTTTAGAACCAAACTTTTGCAAACATTGTAAGCGTCGGGCGAAGCATTTCGTCTTTTTGTTAAGTGGAAGTTTCTTATAATTTTCTCATAAAGAAGCAGAATAAAAATAAGTTTTCGGTAATTAAAATTAATAATTAAACTACAAACTAATAAAAACCATATGAACAGTCGTTAGTAAATTTTATTTTAATTTGTAAAAGTTGTTATTTTGTTTACATCGCGCAACAGTGTTGAAATTTTTGCAATTTTGAAATTAATTTCAGATAGCTGCATTAAGTGGAAACTTTGTACTAAAATGAATAATAAAAGTTTTAAAAATGCCATATCATAAATCTTTTCGCTGCTCTTCATCCTCAAACAAACGAACAGCTTCAATCTACACCCTTCCTGCGTCAAGGAGAGTTCGTACTAAGGTAAACAAGCCGAGCACTAACTTCACACACAGTACGTCCAAATTTGACAGACTGCCCGATAAAACTAGTATAGTACCAACGGTTGGTTTGATATACTGGACACCTTATGATATCTCATCCTTTTTAGATGTCCGATATAATGTAAAGAAATCGAAAAGGGCGTACAAAATACGAAAATCTGCTTTCAGAATTCGTACTAAGTATGAAGACATTCCTACAGACTTACTTACCGAAAAAGACAAGGCCTCTATCAAATGGGCTGAGCAAAATACTGATTTCCGCTTTCCGAATTCATCTTTATATGACCCCAACAAAAGGCGTCAACCATCAGAAGAGTCTTTAATCAATGACGATCTTCAAGCAGACAAAGCATCCATTTTTTGATTTGGACGATCGTAGACTTTAGTAAACCCAATGGTGCTAAATCTCCTTATAACTGGAGCAATGTAGAAATAGCTTTAATGAAATAATTTAAATAAGTGTTAGAGGAAAATCCTGATCCTTCACCTTAATGTAGAGATGCTGGTTGGTATCAAAACCAAATTAAATTAATAACTTGCTCTGATCAACGTCCAACTGACCTTTATAAATTGGCTAAAGTTGCAACCCAAACGTTCCCACAAAAGATTAGCAAGTGTTTGAGGTCAGTGAAGTCAACAATCACCTACGACAAGTTGTTATCCTTCTTAATGCAAACAACAGCCAGGCACTATGAACGTTAAGCGTCCGATGATTTAGGTTCCACAAAGTGCAGTACCCGATTATGACGTTAATGATAACACTCAAAGCACTACCTTAAGCACAAAGGCAGCGGATGAGAGTCGGAATAGTTTAATCCTCACTAAAGGTGATTTGGAAGGTGATTTTCTATCAGACCAGTAGGACCTAAATTGAATATAATTAATAAACATCTATATGGTGAAGCTAATTTAGATTAGTCTTCATTATAAACTGCACTAATCCTTCGTCTATCCCAACCCAATAATGAAGTATGCCCATTAAATTTATAAGGTTACATGAACATTCAGGTAAAAACAGAACCTATATTTAATTTTAAAATACAACTAATATTCTGAAAATCTGTTTACAGTCACAAAGTCTAATCATATAAGTAAACACACATCCAAATCTACCTGAACTGTGTTAAGCTATTCGAGCTACAACGAACACCCTTTGCAATCCAATGACGTCATACATAGCAATGCAAAATCTCATCATTAGGTCTGGGGCAGCTCGAACATATTAGTGTCGTGCATTGTCACGAGGTAAGTTACTTTTGAAACTATTATTATTATTACTTAGTAATAGCAAATATAGATAATAAGCGCTTGTTAATCATGATAAACCGGTGAGAAGCCTTAGCTTTAACGCTGGTTAGTGATAACTGTCAGCACTAGATTATTAATTGATGACGATCATAAATGCATAGCTTTATGTTGTTGCAGTATGGTACATCTATGTCGCTATTTTTGAAACAGAAAAATGCCTGACTAGTGTATTAATCGATTAGGTTTCGGTATTAAAGTTCTAGCAATCAATAGCACAATATAGCTTAATTATGTTACTGTTGCTCCTATGTATAACGTAAAAATTAAACACAACTAGAACTAGTTATAGTAAGAAAGCTTTTAAATTTAGCCTTAAAGCTACGAATGTGTCGTTAAGAAAACAAAATAAACCTCATGAAAAAATCGTTCATAATCTAACTTCGGGAGTTAAATCCTAAGATATACAAGTCATCACTCTAAACCAGTGGTTCCTAACCACAGGTCCGCGAGATGGTTATAAAGGATCCGTGAATTAAATTTAACAGGTATAGATATATAGCTTGTAATTTGTTCACTGAGACCTCACTTATTAGAAAATAAGTACGAAAAATTTCCAAGTTATAATGTACCTATTTTATAGCCCTTATGATGTACCTATACAATTCATTATACATTATACCAGAGATGCATAAAGCATATTAAAATAATAGCATATTAAAATAAAAACAGTTTATTTTGTGGTTCGTACTAAAAACAAAAATATCATAGTGGTCCTTGGTCAAAAAAAGTTGGAAACCACCGTAGAGAAATTCATAGCAATTGAAGCAAGTAATGCATAGTAAGTGTTGTAACTTACTTCGTTTTTCACATTTTTTTTTTGCGAAAAAATAAAAATAATAACTAGTCTATTTTACATAATTTTTGTACTGTACAACATAAAATTATTCATGATTTGCTGATTTTTTCAAAAAGTTCATTATTTGAAAGTATAATGGCATTCACGACACGTATACGATATATATTAACTCTAATCTTCATTAGATATAAGTTGAGAGACTGAGGCGCAGACCAGTCAAAGTCTTCCCACAGGAAGGTGGGCTCTCACTATTCCTGTGGAACGTAATCATAAACTCTCTACTTCAACAGCTTGACATCAAAGACATACACAGAATAGGGTATGCTGCAGATGTAGTACTGATGATGAACGACAAATTCCCAAACAACGTTAGAAACGTAATGAGAAGTGCTCTCAAACACGTCGAACAATAGTGTAGAAAACAAGGCCTGATATACTATTCTATACTATTCTATTCCCGAGGAAAAGAAGTCTGTTAATGGAGCCCTTACAACTTTTCATGGTCTACTTCGGCTAATCCCTCACTTTAGTAGGTTCACTATGTATATTGTTAGATATAATCGCATAACCAGAAATTGACTTAATGATGGTTGCTTTCAGATAAAATGTTATACTGACTCTACTATTGTTTACCATTCTGTTATATCATGATGCATTAATAATGAATAGATAGAATATGCATATATTATATATGTATTAATGTACATATTAATATACTTATTAATATTGAATATATATATTTATATATAAACTTCAATTCATTTCGCGTAGGCTTCAGTCTCTCATGTTCCCTCCCTCTGTCATCAGTTGAATTCATTACATAAATACACATTGCATAAATAGTGAAGAGTTAATATATTAAATCTTTTTGGTATATATTTTACAGGTTTTTCTATGAACTGCGTTTCAATATTAAGTAGAATGTCTTCAAAAACATAGTAATACTTATGTATGTATATAATATCTAGAGGTGTAAATGTCGAAACGTGATATACATAGCCTCTGCGGCCTAAATGTCATTCTCAACCTTCACGTGGTACACGTTGTTTTTACTAATGAGGTTGAATTAATTATGAAAGTGATGATTAAATATTATTAATATTTAATTGCATAATTTTAAACTACGCGAATAATAGATTCGTTTAGTAAACGTGTATTGTACTCGTGTTTGATAAACTTCACTGAACTATTTATGTGAAGTTTATTAAAATGAATCGCACTACGATACTTATTTGGTTTGCCCTAACTTTAATATAATTTTTATAATTTTATTGCTAGCAAACAAAATATTATGGAAAAATTTTCTATTAATACTTGTGGAGGAATAAGGTTTTGAGCGTTTGTTGGTGTGCAATAAATTATAACTAACTAAAAACTCTCTTGACACCCTGCCATCATGCCACCCACAATTTTCAACTAAACGATCAATTCAACTTAATTTGAATATAAAAAATTGTGTTAAAAAGGAGAACAAAACCATTCCAATTTGAAAAGCATAAATTTAATTGAATGCATCCGCATAAGTTTAGCGTTTACTAATATGTAGCTTTTCAATTTTAGACCTCGGATGCTGCTAAAAGTATTTTCAATAATTTTTTCTTTTTTTCTCATATCATACATGCCATAGCTGTTAAGACTCTTCGCTAGTGAAACTCTTAATGTACGGATAATATGTATATAAGAATTGTCCCCGACTACGAGTGACATTCAATACACCGATGATGTGGTTGTTTATGCCGCGAGTACAACACAGCAATATTCAATTTAAAACATTCTGATGTGGTTATATATTGACTGAATTGAAATTGAAATTGAAAAATTTCCAAAAAATTAAATCACAGCCCCACATTTTTGATGACAGCCAGTACGTAAGTACGTAAATGGCAAGGGTAACGAGTGCGCACGAACAAATTGAATTGTACATTTTCAAAATTTATGTTCAATTTTCGTCAAATTAGGAGTGAAAATCGTTCAAAATTTGAGTTCATAATTCAAATTACATATTTATAAATTTACCAGTAAATAACTAAATATTATTATATCATACTTATAAAAAAATTGAATCATCAATTTTATTTATTATAAATATATTACATATAAAATATTATAAATAAAAATATAATATATTGTAATGTATTATATACTTTATTTATTTATATACCATATATGCAATATATAAACATATCACACATTACAAATATATTGTTTGTAATAATAAGTGTGGTAAAAATATATCTACTATTTTTGCATGAAATTGAAGACTTATTTACCATAGATACTTACAATGATCCCATTCATGTCAAATAGTAAGCGCCGTTCGATAACTTATTACTATTTTGATAATATTATTATGCCTCTATCATAGAAGTCCTCCTATCTATTAACAAAAAATTGTGACAGTCGATTTTCACAAGCCTCCCTTGAAGTGAATTTTTCACCAGAAAAATCGTTTATCATTTGTCATGGACAGTAACAGATGCTAATCTGTTCATACTTGGAGCCAGCTCTGGATTATAAGGTGAATGCATAAGAACTTCCCATCCAATCATTATCGATTATCAAGTCATTATCGATGTGTGTAACCTGGCGTCGTCGTGATGGAACACAATTTCTTTCCTATTGCCCAAAGCTGGCCGTTTGTAGACGATTATTTACTTCAGATGATCTAATTGTTTAAACGAACAGTACAGTTCCGAGTTTTGTCTTAGTGGAACAGTTTATAGTATATGATTTCATACCAATCTTACCAACACACAGATAAGCCTTCCTGACTTGGACACCATTTTAGGCAGCTCATCACGATTCGACCGTTTTCGCTTAACGTTGTCGTAAGTGATCCTGATCCACTTTTCATCACAGAGGCAACAATCGATTTTGTTGCGATTCAGCAGCAATTCACAGATGGAAATTTGGTCCATGGGGTTTATTTGCGTTAACTCGTGTGGCACCCATACAATTAGCTGCTTTTTGTATCCAATATTATTCAAATGGCTTCAATTGCTTTTTGTGCAATTTTTAACTCTTAGGCAATTGAGACAGTGACGTTAACTTTCTTAACAGTTGGACTCGACAATTTTCATGATTATATAGACATTTTCGACAGTTAGCTTTCCAGTACGTCTTCCGGTACATCTTTGACATTGAAATTACCGGAACAGAATCGACGAAACCAAAATTGTGCATGATTGACGGTTATAGTATCAGAACTATAAACACATTCCCAGGCTAACGTTCTCGCCTTTATCGAAAAAAGACTGTAATATATGGCGTATTCTCTCTTTTTTAATGTTTAATTTTGATGCGCGCTCAAACAAAACAGTCAACCAATTACTAAACTCAAAAACAAACTTATTTTAATACAAAATCTCATCTTTCTAACACCATTTAGCGTAACCCAATCGGACTATATAACTTCAAACTTATCAAAATATAAAACGTACCTATACTAAAAGGTCCATAGTATGTCAGTAAAAGTGATTTATACAAAGACTTCAGAGTTAAGAGTGTACAAATGCTCACACTAATTCAGAATTGTACTTTCTAAAACGAAATCCCTCTGTGTATTCTGTCAGAGAGATATGATGGACTTTAAACTATACTTCTCTAAATTCATCTAAATAACTTATTATCAGAATTCAACGGAGCTCTTGTTATAGTGGATCACCCAAGTGGTCACAGACACTATTGAGTAAACGTGTTTTAGACACTAACTAGAGTTTCATTAACCAATAGATAAATAGATTAAAAGAAGAGTAAATAGATGAATAAAAAAAGAACAGCTGTGTTTTAACTTGTATATTTTGGTCACATTAGCTTGATGCTCAAGATAAAAGTAGTTTTTTTTTAAAGTTTTTCATTTTTAAAACATTTGATTAACATTACTAATAGAAATTTTATTAGTGCTATTGTTAATGAATCTGTAATATAACATAGGGTTCTAAACTCGGAAACGTGTATTAAATTTTTTTTATAAACTCTCATTGAATAAAGAATATCTTAGGCTCGCCAAAGTGATTGACCATAACATAATGAATATAACATCGTAAGTCGTATATAGCATACATTCTCAAATAAAATGAGGTGGCAAAACGGTTTCTCATTTCTCAGGTTAGTACCTATATAGGAACTTTAAGTGCAAACTTTTAATTTAACCACTATATAACCCTGACATTGCACCATCAGATTATGATTTGTTCCGATACCTATAACATTCTCTTAATAATCTGAAATTAACTTTAAAAGGGAGTTGTAAAAAGCATCTGTATTAATTTTCAAAATCAACATACGAAACAATATGTGTGAAGGGTAATCCATTTTTAAAATGTTTTTGATTTAAGATTTTAAGCGAATAGACTGTTCTTTAATTTGTATAGTATAAAATTGAATAAATAAGAATAGTCATAGGCTATATTTGACACCGATAGGTGGCGATTCTATGGCAATTAAAATGAATATATGATTTTTTATATGTTTTTTTTTTGAAAAACAAATTAATATTAATTGAAGAAATAAAAACTAAATTAATTGAAATTTATATATTTTATTATTTTAAAAAGTATTCATAATTGATTTTTAACTGCTATTAAAAATGACAATGAATATTGCTTAATTAATTAGAAGTGCATACGAAGATTGCAAGTGATGAACAAGGTAATGAACATTTCAAATTTGCTAAAAATAGTGCAAACGAAGAATGCAGGTGATGCACAAAGTAATGAACATTTAAAAATACTTTGAAAAAGAAACGACAGAACAACTAAAGTACAGTTCGTTAAAAAAATAAGAGATAACCATTATTTCATCAAAATATCATATTATTTTGTTTTAAATTAACTTAAAAAATGGAAGGACTACTAACATACACCTTCCATATTAAATTAATTAATTTATTTTTTTTTTTACCAATCGTTATGCAACTCTTTTAATTAAGTTTTTATAGTTTGTCTATAGTAGACTATTTACTATATAAACTCGTTTATTATTAAATAATAGACACGCAAAACTTTTATTTTTTTTTTATTTTTTGAGATTGTTAAATGTGAAATTGTAATTACACTCTTACTTCAGACACAGCAAACCAATTGATGCGTATCAAATCGGAAATATATTTGTTTATAATTTTATTTATCAACGTTTATATTACATTAGGTATAAAACAAATCTAATACTCAAAGTAAATAACCTAACAAAATATAGTTGCGAAATTGTATTTTTTTGGCAGAAGATTCAAAATAGATCAATTATGAAACTGAATTAATTTTTTAATTTGTTAATATAAAACCGAAGACCCTTGAACACGAAGAAGTCAGGTTCATGCAAACCGAATACCACTTTAACTCTGATGATGGATTTTTAAGACTTTAGACCTAAATAATCAGATTTAATTGCCTAAAGTGTGATAACGCAAGATCCGCAATTTATTATAAGAAGAAATCGGAAAACTAAATTACAAAATGATATTTATACTAGTAACTAAATAGGTTACGAAGAGCGAAGAGGACCAAGTGAAAGATAAATAGATTGAGTATATAAAAACGCACATAATTGGAAATAGAATGTTAAATAAACATTCTAGCATTCCATTGATAAAAATGGAATGCTACAGTGCCGCCAAAGTTTCTTTAAAGATAATTTTTTTTTATAGCTTGTAAGTAATTAAGGATAACCCATTCTGTGGATTTGATTTGACTGTAATGTTTCAAAAACTATCCTATTACAAAACTAACATTTGTAGCATCATGTGTTCATTCGTAATTTGGGAAAACGTATTACAATATTTGCAACATATTTTCTTTAGTAATGCACCTAATTTTTTGCATAGTTAATATGTCAAGGACCAAAATTTTCATATCTGGAAAATCGAATTCTACAAGTAACAACGGCAAGTTCATTGGAGATGTTATAAGCCAGCACAATTTTCAAAATGATGAAGCGGTGTAAAAAATTGTTAATTCTAATTGCTATAAAGTCCATCGTTTTTTAATGAGATTACCTGCCGCCACTAATGGAATTTCATGGAATTCTGCCGATGCCAATTAAAGCTATACATATTGATATAGTTATCTCGTCAGAAGGGAGTATGGTCTATCTAGCACCTTTGTTATTCTTTAGGTCACAGCACCTGGCAGGAAAAAGCTACTACACATCGAATGAAAGTAAAGAATCAATCAACCTGCATAACTTTGGATTTTAACCACGATTATTCCATTTTAGGAGTCAACCTTAATGGTTAGTTCAGCCTAAACTGTGACCCCTGACACCTGTGGTACCAGATTTACACTTTCACTCGGGTGATACTCATTCACCACCATTTATACTCCAAAAAGTATCGGATGATATGCCTACGCTATCTTAGTCATCTTTTATAACAGGCATACCTTACCTTGAGAATATTCTAACCGTTTTTCCGCGAGAATTCTCCAATTTTGTCACCAATTTTTTTTTAATGTGAATATATAATGGATATATGTGTTGAAAATATGTGATTTTATAAAGTCTTTTAAACAAACTACACAACACATCCTGTAGCACTGGCTTTATAGCAGGATAAACTTAACGGACTTTTAATTTTGAATTTTGGCGACGTGAATTGGGGCGCCAAAATCATTCAATTTGTAACCAGTGGACTTCCTTTTATGTGGTTACGCAAAGAATCGTATTTATGTGGCAAATCTTTAAATTTTGACTGACCTATTGCCAGCCATATTTTGGCAAGTGATCAAAAATGAATGCACTACCGTAAGATATTCCGTGGCGGACAATAGAATAATAGCAAGGCCGAATTAATATATTGAAATAAAAATTTAATCAAAATCTTAATCAAACATTATTTACGATTACTTTTGGAACTGCAAAATGGATAAACCTGTATTATTCAACTAAAGAACTTCTGGGTGTTAAGTTTTGTGACCTTATTACCACATAAATAAAGAAGAAAGAAATCAAAAATGTATATATTTTTTTGAGTTTTGAATAGCACGGAAAAACTGGTGAATAAGGAATGATATTAAATCAAGTTATGCTAGCAAATTGTTTGCATGTACTTATGTATGTCATATGGGAGGAGGGTTTGTCCATTTGTTGATTTGTCATTGAAAATTTGGTATGTGCTGTTATGGTTAGCGAAACTAAATGGAACTTACCTTGTGAAATACTGTTAAAAGATTCTCCCTGCTGCTTATGTTCTTCTGAATTACTCTTGATTTTTACACCCTTGTGACAAACATGGAACTTAAACAATTTATGCGGCCTTTTTAAAAAATTTTCTCAATCACTAGGCTTTTATGATATTTTATGCTCGGGAATAATAGTATTTATTTTATTTTTGTTGATTTATTAGCATCTAAAATATATATATAAACGCTAGTATACATATGCATATAACACCCGAAAATAGAGTAGTAATTAATTTTACCATTATTTTATTCAATTTTTCTAATTAGATAGAACTGAAGAGAAATATGTTGGGTGGAAACGCAATATTGAAGAGGGAAAAATATTGAAGAGCAAGGAAAAGGATATCGTAGCGCAGAATTAAGAATGCTAGTGAACACAATAAAGCAAAAACAAAAAATTAAAACCAATTTAACAACAAACATTAACTCCAATTTTATTTTTATTATAAAATTTTAAAAAGTTTGAAACATTTAAATTTTTTATTATAAAATATAATATTATAAAATTATTATATTATAAAATAAAAAATAACTAATAAATATTAGATATTATTTTAGTTAAATTTCAATTTAAAATAAAGCAACATTTTTTTCATAAATATATTTTATTCACGTAGGATTATTTTAAATCTAAATATTTTACAATATTTTCTTTGTATTTTTGATTATTTTTTTCGTATTTGTTGTTGAATTTTGTTTAGGCTCTTTGCAACAATGTTGAATGGTGTAATTGGCATTCATATTCTCAATAATTTCTTCCGTAAGAATAAGACACTTGCTTGCCCGTTTTGTAAATAATATTATACTTTGTTTATATTTGCAAGATAAAATGCTTTAGCAGAATTTTTTTAATATATTCTCCAACAATATTTATGATTTTTTTTCAACAATTCTTTAATTTGATTTTATGATTATTCTTTTCGCAAACTCAATTCTCATTCACTCACGCTCGCAGCTTGAATTTTTATTACTACGTACACATCCGAGCACTTATTTTTGATGCTGCTAACAAATTTTGAATATTAATTTAAAAATTTAACACTTTTCCTATTACTACACTATTGAATAAAACAGTAATATAAAATTTTTTTAAGAATAAATTTACTTTAGTGGATTTTAACATATGCACTTCTTGTCAATTTGGAAAAGGTGCGACCGACCACACACATCCCACAATTTTGCGACTTTCAAACAGACTAAAAAACAAAAAGAAATATTACTGTTTTGAACCTCTTTTCTTCTCCTAAAAACAAATATACAAGCCAATAATATCCACACCACTTAGCACTATTGCCTAAACTGAGATAGCAATAAGACGTTTGTGTCTAAAAGAGAGAAAAGAACTAAAATGGTGTGTAGTATGTCAAATTAACATATGAAAAATGTCAAAATAGTGCTGCCAGAACGTTAAAATATTTTTATTTTTATATTTTTTATCAGTTGGGGACATTTTATATAGGAATATTAAATTTATTTCAAGAATGACATAAGACATATTCTCTTGCAATCGAGTGCGTACAAAAACACCAACTTAATTACTACTTTGTACAAAATATATTATTAACATTAGATGTAATCATTTATAATAGTATGTTTCCACTGCTTACTTAGTAAGTATAACTTACTAAAGTATAATATAGACCAGGGGTGTCTAGACCAGATGCGATCGCGAGTCAATACAAATCACTTCATAGTCAGTGCTGCAATCTGTCAAGTGTTATGTTTTGACAAATAGCAAAAATAGCATAATGAAAGCAAATTACATTTTGTATAAAAATAAATAATTAATATTTAAATTTAAATTTAGTTTTATTAATTTATCAATTTTAATTCATTCATTTGGTATACCATAAAAATAATATAACGTAGTTTTACCAGTACAGATAACGAAATTGTAGTAAATGCAAACTATTTATTTTATTATATAAATAATTCATATATCTTAGAATTAAACATAAATTCTTAGTTTAGTTCTTAAAATTAAAATTCTTTTTAATTTAGTTCTTTAAAATTATGTCTTTAATATTTTTATTTATAAAATAATTTTGTAAATATTTAAACTTCTTTAAAAATCGTTTTTAGCATAAAATAATATATATATAAAATAATATTTATATATATAAACTTCTTTAACAATTGCTTGTAGCACTACTTTTCAAATTTGCTTCTTTTAAAGAAAATAAATGTCTAGCACTTTTTTTCAATCATTTTTTTTGTCACTAATTAATAGTGACCGCGATTTTCGCTCCTCCGACGTCTACTAAAATTCTCATACACAATTAGGCATGTATACAGACTTAACAAATAATTGAAAAGCTTAAATTTTAACACATACATGTCTGCAGACCGAATTTGGTATGCATACTCGAATATACACGGTGCTATTTGGTGGCACACATACTTAGTCTTAATATATGTAGCATCGCCTTATCATGCTTCATTAACCATACGAAGAGGTTCTGTGCTCTTTAACTTACTTAAAAATAAAGTAAGAAAAATTAGATCAAAATGTCGAATGCAACCGTTAAAAATGAATTTCCCACAAGGAAAATAACAAAAATTTGAAATATTTGTCATATGTTGTATATGTAATATGTAAAGAAACAACAGCTGAGCTGTAAAAGAACATACTGACAAGGTGTGTATTTAATAAAATCATTATGTTTATTAATTGAATAAGTAATAGATTTATAAATTATATATATGGAAATGACTTGATATATCAAATATATGTATAACTCTTTTGTGTGATAATGATTGAGTGAAATTGTTCTTAAAACTTACAAAGAACTTTCTGACACATAAAAGCGTTTTCCTATATAATAAGTAACTGATTTCAATGGAAACGACAAAATCTTAAAGCCGCTTAATTAGTTAATAGCTCACAAAGCTATTAAGCCAAAACCATAAACTTGTCTATTTCAAACGAATTTCAAAAATATACGCTAAATTCAGTTAGCAAAAAAAAACTTTCATTCATTATATGTGTCTGGTTTTATAAAATTCACATATTCATTATATATATTTTCGATTTTTGGTTAAAACAAATTTTTAATATATCCAATAATATATGAAAGCAATTTGTATACGAAAATTTAGCATGTATGCGCAATTTTTACGCATTAAAACAAAGTATTTAATATTAATGAAATATTTGATGAGTGTTGCCACCCAAAGCTACCCAAGCTACCAAAATATTTTAGCTACTGTTGACATCTCTTTACTATTGTTTTAATATTTGTTTTATGTATAGACAAATATTTCTGATATATTGAATTAATAATATATTTATAAAATATTTTTACAATTCATATAATTTATTATTGAAAGAAAAATTATATATTAATATACTTACATAACATACTTACATTACATACTTAATAAATTTATATCAATTATTTTTTTTATAAAATAGGCATTTCTCATAATAAAAAAAAAATTAAAAAAAATAGTTTAGAATAAAGTGCATTTTTTTCTCTTATTTAAAGTAATAGTTTCCTAATTTAAATGTGTTCAAAAATAATTTTGTTTATGTGTATTAAAATTTTTAATTCCCATATTTTAACCACACATTATATCAATACATTTATTTTTGACTTAAGTTTTTATAACGATAGCTTTCGAACTTTTTTTTAAATTCTTTGTTTAAGGCTTTCATATTAGCACTTGAAATAATCCCAATCTCATTCATTATCATTTTAAAATAATATGTGTTCACACTATGATTAAGTTATTTATGTTGTTTTCGATTGATAAATCCTGAGTAATTTTTTCAATCGATATACACGTCTAGCGTAATTCTCATTTTTGATTGGTTAATCTCGGGCGAAATGTATAAAACTTGAGATTAATTATTAACACTCTAACTATTTCTCGAGAGAATCTATATTACTCTAAAATTAAAATCTGTTTTATGTGATTTGAGAAATAAAGTGTGATTTGATTTAATATAAGTATTTATAACAAATATGAATATCTACTAACACTACTACACAAATGTTAGATTAATGTTTGAATGGACAAAAAAAAATTGACAGATCGAGACTAAATCTGGATTAAATTCAGATTTACCAATCGAAAGCACCATCAGTTTCATGTTTAGTTAAATTTTGCCTTAAAACACTTTTGTTATGGAAGCAAATAATTTTATTGTAATAAAATAATTTTAAAATAAATCAATATCACTTCTATAATAAAAAAGTTACAATTAAACAAAAATATATGTATATTACAAATGCCATTATTACTTATACTTATTTTGCTTATTTCATATTTATGGCGTTTTTTATACTCTTTTTATACTCACAATCATTTACAAGAAACCAAAAATTTGCTCAATCTCAACGGAACTTCTCCAAGATAATATAAACTTTTGTTTGGCGTTTATATATAAAACCAACCTCATTTCCACCCCATTAAAATAGAAGTAACTATGACGCCAAATGGGGTCATATTGAATGGTGGTAACAAAGCGCTATAATTATATTTTTCTAATTTTTAATAATATTTGCATTAATGTGTTATAAAACCCAATTCTTTTTGTTTTTCATTGCTAATATTCATTACTAAACCAACACTAAACTTTTGCATATATTATGCACCAAAAAAAGTATTTGACGAGAGCTCGTGTGTCAGTATTTTTTGTTTCACTGTAAGTGGAAAACATAGAAAGCAACAGTGTCATGATTAAATACAGTGTAATGCTTATTTTATATTTGGGTTTTTTTAATAAACTTACAAGATATTATCATTATTACACGATTTAAGCAATTCTGTAGGAAATTTATATATGATATTATAAAAAAGTTTAAGTTATAAAGTTTTGTTCGCGCACAACAAAAATCTTAATTATAATATAATATTTCTAATAGACTATTCACACGGCAAAAGGTATACGTGCTGCAAGGTTATGTATTGCTTTGAGCTTGTCCCGTGTTCCAAAAATGGAAGACATACTTATTTCTATATATTAAATTAAATAAATTAAAAAAATATATATTCGCTCGGATTACTTTAACAATGCGCACTTAAGTGCCACTTTGACACTAAAGTAAAATGTAAGGCCAATGCCACAAGCCTCAAAACTGACTTGAGTCCCGCTTAAGTCATTAATTTTACTAACTTAATTCATGCTTAAGTTAGCTTTGAGACTTAGGTTATGATTGGAATGTCTATCATTATAGCCTCAACATACGTTAGCATATTTTTTATTTGTTTTTATCAAAACTTAATTCCATTATTGTCATATATTGTAAGGATGTTGCAAAAACTCAGCGCAACACACACAACAGCAATACTGTTAGCTTATTTACCACTTTATTAAAAATCTTTTAACTAAGTCAGACATTAGGCTTACAGAGAATAACTCAAAAGAAACTCAGGAGGATTGAAGCTGAAAAACTTACTTCGAACGGTCTAACCCAAATCAGTGACAGCAGCAGGCTCAATAAAGTGATTACGGTTGTATTCAATCCAGGAGGGTGGGGGCAGAAACGCAATTTCAAGTGTGACTGCTATACCAGTAAGAAAACCGGCTTATAGTAAGGAAAGACAATTACCACAAAGGCAAAGGCCATTGTTGCTGCAATGGCCTCAACGCAGTTGAGGATAAATGATGGACCAACTACAAGTTCTTACGCTAGTAGGTTCAACATGGGAAAGATCGAAACTTGAACTTAACCTCTATTCACCGAGAACCCGTCAAAAATTTTTTTTTTAGTTCGCGATTGATGACTGTCTCATTTTTTCCCAAAAATTGTCTTCTAAAATCTTGATTTAATCAGTAAACAAAAGACATCCTTACACCTTTCGGTATGAAGAACCGAGATGTCAAATTATTTGCTATTTATTATATATTCGTTTCACATTAGCACTCATAAACTCATAAGTGTCTTCTTTTTTTGGGTCTCCAAGTTTTTTGATTTTATTTTACTTGTAGAGTTGAATATAAAAAGAATATATATACTTTCCCAATATTTTTTACAGTTAGGCATAAAAGTGCAGGTTAGGATCCTCCTCGACTACTACATCAAATGAAAGATTAAGCTCAACTCCAATAAGATCATTGCCATAGCATTGATGTCGCATTTATCAAGTTGGAGTTCGACAATACCCCATTCAACTTGTGGACAAGCTAAAGTATCTCGGTGTTGGCACAACCAGCTTAACTGTAAAGTTAAGCTCCTCTGCTATAAACGGCTCATTAGCACTCTACACTCATACGCCTTTCCCATTTGGTCTGTAATCTCATACGCCTAGTTGGAAAGAATCCGTCTCTTCGAGCGCAAGCCGGGTTCATTAGACATATCGCCGAT